TACCCTCGGACTTTGAGAACCACGCCCCACTTTTGTTGCTCTCCCTCGGACGCCGGCCATTTTCCGCTTTGTTTACACTAAAGAGTGCCTTTTCACACTTCTTCAGCAAGTGCAAACTTATCCATAGAAAACAGCTAAGTCTCTGGCACACTTGAGTGCTTTCTTTTCTCCTCCCCCCCGTCTCTTTCAAACACAGTTCAGTTTGTTTACGTCTGGGATTCCTCCCGACGCCGCTAAGGGGGGGGGGGATCGGAACTCACTTTTAAAACTTCTTCACTCGTCTCATTCTCCAGTTCATTGACGGTCTGATCTCAGACACCTTTTATTCACGCTTCATTCGCTGACCCTCTTGCTTGTTCCGATCGGCATCAGCTATGCTCGGTAAAAACCGAGCCTCTCAGGGGGTGGACCGATTGGGGCAAAAAGGAGCGCCTCAATTCTCCGGCTTCAAGCCATCGAAGAGGTCGCCCCCCAAGTGCCCCCGGCTTGGAGCCTCCACTCTGAGGCTCACCTGGGGGTGCCACTTGAGGCGGCACCCCTCCAACACCCCTGGAGCACGGAATGCCTCCCCTGTTCAGGAGAGAGCCTCTGCCATCGCTGAAGCCACAGACCGGAAGTCTAGATAAAAATATCTAATCTCCAGGCAATAGAAGCACCAAATGGCCGAGCTTCTATATACTCCTGCTATAATGTGTCAGAATGGCTTCACAAGAAATGAACACCATGCTTAAAAAAAAATGCTGAAAGCATGTGCAGAGTCCTGGCTAAGGAACAGAACAAATTCCACAAAAGAAGCAGTTTTAATAGCAACTTCAGGCAAGTGCTTTAGCAAGCTGACTGGGCAATGCATGCACTGATCCATGCAAAGATAAAATTATAGTGCCAGACACTTAGAAGTAGGGTATGCATTTGTGAAAAACAGACTGAAGTAAGTTGCTTGCTACACATACAGAAATATTAACAGCTGATGCCGTAGCTTCCTTCAGCAAAGGCTTTTTTGTGTCTTTGTTTTTAAAAAACGAACAAACTCAAAAACTGATCCACAAGCCCAGTTCTCCCTTACTGGAACAGATACCGAGTTCTTCCAACAATGGCATTCCTACAAGGTCTGGTAGATTCTTTTTTTTTGGGGGGGGGGTTGAGCTTGCATGCACACATAGCTGCCCCCAAACTCCCAGTCTGCTTTTCAACTTTTAGCAAATTGCCAAGGCTTTACAAGAGAAAGGAGGAGATTGCAGGGGAATAGCAGGGAAAAGGGGGCTTGCCAGAAACAGCGGGATCACCTCAGCGTGTGGGTTTTTTTTTTTGCTAAGGTTTCCCCAAGGAGGAGAAACTCAGAAAGGCTATTTCCTTTCACCCACCCCCAATAGCTTTGACTTATTCAGGAGAAGACCCAGAGCAGAGATCCAGGAGACTTACTTTCCCAGGAGGCGAGCGTAAGCAGTCTCACACACACACTCGCCCCCCTCAGTTTTTAAAAATCCCACCTGCCTCGATTACACACACACACACGGGCTGCAGTGTTGGAGGAGCAAGTGAAGGGTTGCTCCTTGGCACACCAGCCGGCAGGCACAGGCAAGTGGAGGGCAGGGCTGCCTGAGAGGAAGCACCCCTGCACATAGGCTGAAAAGTCGTGTGTGGACAAGTATAAATCCATGAGTCATTGCGCATGAACGCACGTCACAGGGAAGCCTGGTGCTGAGTTACCATGAAAGGCGGGGGGGGGGGGCGCTCAAAGGGAAAGCCATCCTGGAATCACTTTGAGAGGAGAGAACGGGAGCCCTCTAATGAGTAGCTGAGGGGCCGTGCAGACTGAGTTTGGGCCTTCCACTAACCGGTCAGGAGAAGGCATTTCCCGCCTTGCTGCCTGCAGCTGCGGCCTGAAAGAAGCCTCGGGAGGTTCTTGGGGAAGCCCCAGAGGGGGCGGGTTGACATGACAGCTAAATTTCGGGTTCGAATTAAATGAGCTTTTCCATGATGGGTTTGATTCTGCTGCCTGGAGTAAAAGTCTGGCCGCTTCTGCCAGTGACCTCGGCCCTGAGGGGACTGTCTGACCTTGTGGGAGAAGATGGCCCGTGGGCCACGTGATCTCGAGGGTCGGGAGGGATGTCTCCCAGCATGCAGTGCAGCTGATGGATCAAGAGGCCTTGCTTCTGCCGCTTGTGCTGAGGGGTCCGGCTGTCTGGAGAAGCCAGCAGCTGGGTGTTGGGAGGGGGGCCGGCCAGTCCTGAGGGCTGACATGAAGCAGAGGCTGCATAATACATATGGTGGGCTTGGGGAAGTTGCCTCTCACATCCTAACTCTTTGAAGAGTCCTCACAGCTCTGTTTAAAACAAGAACGAACCAACCCTTAGAAATGTACCTGTTGTCGGGTCACTACTCAGAGATGGCCTTAGGTCACATGCCTTGAGCTCAGGGGTCTTGTTAAATTAGAGAACAGTTCTGACACCTGCAGTGGGCCTCCTGCAAGGGTTAGGGTGGTCTAATGGACCGAGCCTTGGGCAGGGGAGGCCCAGGCTCACATTTCTGCTCAGCCGGGAGGGACGTTTGGGTGGCATGGGCCAGTGATTGTCTCAAGGAGCAACTTCTACCCCACAGTGTTGTTTGGAGGTTAAAGAAGGGAGGGAGGCCCACATGGCATTCCGAGCTCTCTGGGTGAAGGGTCCAGTAAAAGTGTAATGTGGCAGCCTCCAGGCATAGACATTAATCTTGGACCCCTTAATATCTGTGCCAGTATTGGGATCACCTGGAAAGAGCTGTGAATGTCATGTCTTTGGCGTGTGACGTGCGCAGTAGGGCGGAGGGAAGCCCAGAGGCAGGAGTGGCCGAACTGGCAAACCTTGGGGGCGGGGGGGCTCTGGGCCTGCAGGCTGGTACAGCCTCGGCAAAACTTTTTATTGTGGAAACAAGCTCTGTGAGAGTCTCAGCGGCACAGCGAGAGTCACCAGGACTGGTGCTACGAGGCTCTTTGTTTTTTGCAAGACCTGTCTTTGATGACTTCTTGTATAATTCTGTGGGTGTGACCCGGCCAAAGGGAAAGTCCCATTGATTTCAGGGACAGAGGTGTCAGTGTGCTCTGAAACCCAGGGGCCTTGACAGCCCTTAGGGACGGCTGGGATGAGCTTTATGGCGTTGCTTCATTCCAAGAAATACCTACGTGACTACTCAACCAGTTTCCTCACTTGCCTCTAGATGGAGTACTTGCCAGAAAATGCAGACACTGTTGAGATAGACCGACAGCAGACATCAGGGAAGAAAGGTGAGCTGCTGGGGAAACCATGAATGGCTTTGGCAGCCTGATTCCGGGGCAGCTGGAATAGTCTGGGAAATGGAAGCATGAATGTGGGTTCCAAAAGCAGGGGAGCCATTTGGGAGGAGAGCTTGCCTTCGTCCAGGATGCCAGGCCATGGGTGACGTGTTCCACAAGCACGCCCCGGCTGGTTCGGCTGATCATTAATGGAGAAGAAACTGGTTCTGTTTCAGCTTGATCTTGACCGCAAGATTGAACTTGGCTGGAGAACCCTGCTGCCTCTTCCCAGACACACGGAGCAGCCTGAGATCGTTCCAGAGGGTGGCTCTTTTGGTCTGCAGTAGAAGAGCCAGATTCGACTCCGGCAGCGCCAGAGAGACCAACAAGATTTCCTGGGCCGGAGCTTCCGAGAGTCGAGATGGGATCGGATGAAGGGAGCTCTGGCTTCAAAGGCTTCTCCCCGGGAAATCTCGGTGGCCTGGAAAGTGCGACTGGACTCGAATCTGCCTGATCTGAAATGGCATCCCTCGTTCCTTCTTGAAATCACTGATACTGCCTTGATTCAATTTTCCCTGGCATAGGGGAGCACCTTTAAAATCTGGCTTCCTTCCAGGCGCTCCTTCCAGGCGCTGCTTCAAAGCGGGCCATGGCCCAGGAGAGTGCGGCGCTCCCCCCGCCCCGCTCTAGCATAGTTGCCACAGTCCTGTCAGTCGGTTGGCATCAGGGGCACATGAGTGAGGTGCTGGAAACAGAGAGGGAAGAGGCCTGGGGAAGCGATGCCAGATGGTTGGCCCCCGGCCCCCTAGAAGTCCTAAAATAATTCTGGCCTGGCCCCGCAGCACGGCACAGGAAGTGCCTCTTTCGTCTCTCAGCCTGCAGGTCCCACGAAGCAGCTTTTGTACCTTCCCGCCTTCTCTGAGGCTCGGCTCATGCATCAGGGCTCCCCAGCCTTTTCAAGCCCTGCAGAGGCCCCTTTGGGATTCTGACACAGCCTGGTGGGCGGAGCCACAAAATGGCTGCTGCAGGAGGCGGAGCCAGCAGTAAAGTGGCCACCATGGCTTAACTTCAGTCACGCAGTGAAGATCCTTGGGTGTGGTTGCAGCTGCTGCCAGGACGTTTCAAAAAATCTGCACAGCCAAACCTCCAGTAGCCGATTGGAAGCCCTACTAGGCAAAAACCCTACTTGGCCCCGCCCACTTCCTAAGAACATTTGGTGGGTCCCAGAAGAGGGGTCAGCAGGCGCTGTGGCACCCACGTGCCCCATGCCGCAAACCCCATCATGCATTTATGTAGAGACACATCCCTCAATTTCTCTTGACTGGCGGCTCGGTTGGAGTCCAGGAACCCCCGAGGGACCCACAAGCTTTTCTAGGGGCTGAGCTTTCAGGAGTCCAAACGCCTTTCGTCAGATTTTTTTTGACTGGCAGCGGAATGTGTGGGCTGGTGGGAAACGTCTGTGCCCAGTACTAGTCCTGTCGCTCTTTCAGCCGAGTGGTCCTTCCTTGAGAGTTGTGCGGCCGCTGCTCCCTGCGGGCCTGAGCGTGTTGCTTTCCTAATGCAGGGGTGTTTTTTTTCTTCCCTGCAGACATGCAGCTGATCCAGTATCGGGGGAACCCCTTGCTCTCCTTACTGGAAGATGCCCCTTCAAGCGAGGAGGTTGCGTGCAAGATAGAGAGCGCCAGTGATGTTCTTCTGGCTTCGCTGGAGGACGGGCCTCCCTCTCCTCTTCCTTCGGGCGGGGGGGTGGCTGCTCAGCAGTTTCGAGATCCAGCTGCCGACGGCCCTGGCCCGGAGCCTCACGAGCCGCCCCTTCTCCCTGAAGATGTGAACGGGGAATATAAGCTCTTCCCACTCCTGCTTCTCAGCCCCGTTGCAAACTTCATAGAGGAAGCCTCTGAAATCAAGCCGCCTGAGCCAGACAGAGGTCTCCTGGGAACGGCTCCTTCCCCGCTGTAGAACGTGCCCGAGGCTGCCATGCGGGGCAGCAGCTTCCCTGTCTGCAGCAGAGCTAAAGGGGGGGGGGGGGAGGTTGTTTCACCAGAAGAGTTCCCGGGAAGGCAGCGGCCTCCAGGGCCAGGTGGAGGCTTCCTGGCGGGGTTTTTAAAAGATAGCGAAGAGCAGTTAGTGATCGGCTTCCAGCTTGTTTTTACATATGTCTCATCTAGTGGCAGGGCAACCAGTTTGTGTGGCTTTGTTAGGGTAGTTTTTTTTAATCACAAAACTCTTTTTCCCTGCCATTAGCAACAGTCTGATTTTTGTATGAGACTAAATCATATCTTATGCACTCCTAAATATGCCTCTCAGTATCTGCGTAAACAAGTTCTATTTCCTATGGAAAACAGTGTATTTTTAACCTCGGTCCATAAAATTATGCAGAAAGTGTGTGTCTCATTCACCTTGCATGCCAAAAACCTGCTCGTGGTTGGCGTGGTGGGGTGGGTGGTAGGAAGAGGGTGACAATTTTTTTTAAAAAAAAGCTTTGGCAGGAGCCATGTGTGTGCCTGACGAAGCACCTCTAATGTTGGGGGGGGGGGACAGGGACATGCACCCTGGCCTGTCTGCCTCCCCCCAAGGTTGACCACACTGCCCCACACCTCTTGCGGCGGCTGTGCCCATGCACATTCTGTCTCAACAGTTGGGAACACCCCTAAAGCTCCCAAACAAAGCTTTTGACTCCTGTCATCCAACCCCTACCCACCTGTCTCCCTACCTGACTGCCTGGCAGCAAATAACGTCAGATCGGTGGGTACTCTGTCATCGGGAAAGGGTACCTCATAGAATTCATCCAAATACCCGAGGCCCCCAACTTTGTACTTACTCCATCATCCAGCACGCTTTTGGAAGAAATCCAGAATCTTCTTCAAAAGGGCGCTGTAGAACCAGTCCCAATAGCACAATGTCACCACGGGTTTTACTCCCGTTATTTTACGGTCCCCCAAAAAGATGGGGCCTCCGTCCTATTATGGACCTCAGGGGACTCAACCGTTCTATCTCCTATCTGAAATTCCAAATGACAACATTGCAAAGCATCCTTCCCCTTCTCAGCAAAGGTGTCTGGATGGTAACCCTGGACTTGCAAGACACATATATCCATATAACTATCCACCCATCTCACAGGGAATTTTTGCGTTTTGCGGTCACGGAAGGCCATTTTCAATACAAAGCCCTCCCTTTTGGACTCTCAGCAGTGGCCAGAGTCTTTACAAAGATGATGATTGTTATTGCGGCGTACCTCCGTCTTCAGGGTGTGCGAATCTTTCCATATATTGAGGACTGGTTGTTGATAGCAAGCTCCAGAGAGACTCTGCTCAACCATATCGATTTAACGCTGGTCACCCTAGATGCGCTGGGTCTGAGGGTGAACCTGAAAAAGTCAGTGCTCCTTCCTTTGTTGAGAGTCCAATTTATCGGAGCGATTTTGGATTCGACTATCTGCCGAGCTTTTCTTCCTCCAAAGAGGGCAGACGACATTCTCTCATCAACCTAATGAAGATGCAGAGAGATGCATCAGCAAGGCAGATTCAATGTCTCTTCGGTCTGATGGCCGCCACCACAGCGGTACTCACTTTCACCAGACTACAAATGAGGCCACTTCAGCTGTGGTTCCTCAAGCGGTTCCACCCGCAGTGGCAGCTCCAATCTCAACGGTTTCTGCTTCCTGCACAGGTGTTGAATTTCCTACAGTGGTGGGAAAATCCAGAAAACCTCCTTCAGGGAACCCCATTTCTTGCACCCAGCCCTCAAATGACCCTCACCACGGATGCATCCGTGTGGGGATGGGGGGCACACCTCCAAGGTGTGTGGGTGGGTGCCAAATGGGAACCTCACGTGGCCCACAAGCACATCAACTTCCTGGAGCTGTTGGCCATCCAATATGCCCTCAGGTCTTTTTGCCACCTCGTGGCTCACCACACAGTGGCAGTCCTGACTGACAGCACCACCACACTATGGTACCTGAACCGGCAAGGTGGAACAGTATCCAGGGGACTTTGTCGACTGGCCCTGGAGATTTGGGCCGAATTCCAGTCCCAGGGCGTGTTCATCATTGCAACTCACCTTCCTGGATCACTCAATGTGCATGCGGACTTTCTGAGCAGGGGAGGCGCATCCCTCCATGATGAGTGGGGACTCAACTGGGACTTGTTGTTGTTGTTCAGTCGCACAGTCAAGTCCGACTCTTTGCGACCCCATGGACCAGATCATGCCAGGCCTTCCTGTCTTCCGCTGTCCTCTGAAGTTGGCTCAATTTCATGTTCGTTGCATCTATGACAGTGTCTAACCATCTCATCCTTTGCCGTCCCCGTCTTCTTTGACCTTCAATCTTTCCCAGCATCAGGGTCTTCTCCAGTGAGTGCTCATTGGGTGGCCAAAGTATTTGAGCTTCAGTTTCATTATCTGGCCTTCCAACTGGGACTACCTCCAACCAATTTTCAACAGATGGGGTCACCCAGAAGTAGATGTGTTTGTGACGTGGCAGAACACGAAGTGTCACCTGTTTTGCACCAGGACGGGACGCCCTGTCTCTGGGGGATGGCCTCCTTTTCCCATGGACCCACAGGCACATGTACCTGTTCCCTCCGATTCCCCTGCTTACCAAGGTGCTAAGCAAAATCATGAAGGAGCATCCTCGGTGCATCCTCGTGGCACTTGTTCCCAACCCTACTCTACATGTCCCAGGGCACCTTCATACATTTTCCTCCAACACCAGATGTCCTTCTGGCTCAGGAGGGCCAAGTGCTTCACCACGATGTGCCACACCTCAAACTCACGGCGTGGAAGATCGTCTAGCATGGCTTAAAAGCAGGATAGGTCTTGTTTTGCTGAACTGTCATAATTTTTGGATTCCTGTTGACCCGCTTGGACTTGGGTCTTAGTTGCTCCTACTTAAGGGTCTGTTTGGCTGCCATATCCACCAAGCACCCAACGGTGGATGGCTGTTACGTTTTTTTCTCACCCACAAACGAAGCAGTTTCTGAAGGGCCTCACTCGTCTCTTTCCCCCGACTCGTGGCCCAACTCCCTCCTGGGACCTACTGTTAGTACTGTCCAAACTAATGGGCGGGTCGTTTGAGCCCATGGCCACGTCTAGTCTACAGCTTCTTTCATGGAAGACTGCTTTCTTGGTAGTCATTACGTCAGCAAGACAAGTGAGTGAATTGTCTGCACTCCGTTGTGATTCTCTGTATTTGTTTTTTCACCATGATGGTGTCACCTTGGCTCCGGATGTATCTTTCCTGCCCAAGGTTGTTTCCGAGTTTCTTCCGATGTTTTCCCCGTCCCCTATGAGCAACGAGGAACGCCGTCTTCACACTTTGGACGTCAAGAGAGCCATACTTTTTTTACCTTGATAGGACAAGGTCATTCCGTCAGTCACCAGCGTTGTTTGTTTCCTATAGCACACCTGTGCAAGGGAAAAAGCTCTCTTCGCAGCGTCTATCCAAGTGGATTGTGGAAACCATTAAATTGTGCTACTTGCTGGCTAAAAGGCCATTTCTGGGCCCGCTTTGAGCACATTCCACCCGGACAGTAGCCACGTCTACAGCCTTCCTGAGAGGCTTGTCGCTCACTGACATATGTCAAGCAGCAACCTGGGCTACCCCTCACACGTTTGGGAAGCATTATGCCCTGTCAGGTTCAACAGCATGTAAATCTCCACACACGTTTCCAGGGAATCGTTATGCTTTACAGGTCTGTTGCCATGATCTACAGGTACATTGTTAGGAATGACAATGGGGGCTGATGCATCACTACATATACTATGATGCTGCAATGTGCTAAGCAAATGAAATTCAAACGCACGGGAATTCTCCTGGCGGGAGGCTACATAATGAACGGGAGGCTCTCCGTGCACCATGAGAGCAGAAATATTCACACTGGCAGTGGAACGCAAGCCCTCCCTCCTCAAGGTTATTCAGATAACCCAGTCTGGCAGCGCCAGTTCGCACTGTCTCAAGAGCACCTCCCATTAGCTGTTTACAGCAAGCGAGCTAAGCAAGCAAGCATGCGCACTCGCACCGCAGTCAGGAAGGGACGAAAACAAGTGAAACATGGCAGCTAGCTGACAGATGTGCGTATTCATCAGCATTCTTGGTAAACGGGCAGTGTTGCAGGTGACACAAGTCTAGGACTTCAGCTTCCTCCTCCAGATAGGCTTGTTTCTTTTTTGCTTGTTAATCTCACAGAGGTGTGATACACAGAGACCACGAAGAAGTTAGGCAGGATGCTTATCTGTAACTGGTGATCTTTGAGTGGTCATCTGTGCATTCACACCACCCGCCCTCCTTCCCCTCTGCTTTCGGTCCGCTCTGAGACTGAGGGTAGCAGTCAGAAGGAACTGGCGGGATTGTCGTGCCCCTCCCTTGGTCATGCGCAGTGGGGCCAGCACGTGACTGGGGAGCGGGGGCAAAAATCCCTGCTTTCAAGAGGAACCGATCGAGGTCGGCGCAGGTGCACTATGTCCCAAAGGTGTGAATGCACAGATGACCACTCGAAGATCACCAGTTACAGGTAAGCAACCTGCCTTTGCTCTCCTCTGGACACGTTCCAGCTTGTCTATATCTTTCTTAAATTGTGATGGCCAAAACTGAACACAGTACTCTAGGTGAGGTCTAACCAGAGCAGAATAAAGTGGTACCGTCACCTCGCGTGATCTGAACTCTATACTTCTGTTGATACAGCTCAAAATCATGTTTGTTTTTTTAGCAACCAGATTACACTGCTGACTAATGTTCAGTGTATGGTCTACTACGATCCCTAGATCCTTTTTGCACATACCACAGCCAAGACAAGTCTCCCCCATCCTATAATTATGCATTTGATTTTCCCTACCTGAATGCAGAACTTTACATTGATCCCCATTGGAATTCATTTTATTTCTTTTAGCCCAGTTTTGCAACCTGTCAAGATCATCCTGTATCCTGACTGTCTTCTGCCAATTTGGTGTGGTTAAGTGCGTGGACTCTAATCTGGGAGAACTGGGTTTGAGTCCCCACTCCTCCACTTGCACCTGCTGGATGACCTTGGGCAAGCCATAGTTCTGGCACAACTGTTCTTGAAAAAGCCGTTTCTGTCAAGAGCTCTCTCAGCCCCGCCTACCTCCCAGGGTGTCTGTTGTGGGGAGGGGAAGGGAAAGGAGTTTGTAAGCCGCTCTCAGACTCCCTTGGGTTGTGAAGGGCGGGGGATAAATCCAATCTCTTCTACGGTATTTTGCTCCCCCTCCCATTTTAGTATCACCTGCAGATTCAATCAGCATTCCCTCTGTCCCTTCAGCCAAATCATTGATAAAGACGTTGGAACAAAACAGGTCCCAGGACAGATCACTGAGGCACTCCGCATGTCACTCCTCTCCAAGAGGATG